AAATGGAAGAAGTATGGTATAGTACATTATATTTGGAAAGATTTATAATAATTTTCGTGTATATTACTCTATACACGAGGCTTCTGTTTCACTAATTGGGCTTGTTTTACCTTTACTTTTACCCTTCATCATTTTCTATTTCCTACTGTTTTCATTTTCTATTTCCTACTGTTTTTACTTTTCCATCATTTGCAATGGAGCCAAAAGTTCACTATTTTTTTTGGCTTGAGAATAAGATGGAATAAAGTAAAATGGCTCACTAAACTGTCTGCGCTTCTTTGTTATGAAGCAGTAGTCAGTCCATGCAATTTTGGATGTGATTTTCAATATGGGTCATCCGGAAACAGTCTTTTTGTGCTTTAGTACAGAGGTAAGACTGCGTACATCCGACCCCCCTTACCCTACTGTGGTAAGGGTAATGATAATGATGATCTTCTCTTTCCTACTATGCAGTACCTGTACTATGTTTTTCTTGAGCTTCATGAAAACAATATTTGAGCAATTGATAAAAATGGAAGAAGTATGGTCTAACAATAGTGTAGATATCTTCCCTATGTATCGAGGCTACCCTTTTTATCAAACATCTTTCCCTGTACCTTAGGCGTTTGTCTGCATGCATGTATGTTTGTGTTTACACTGCATCTCTAACACTTTCCTTTCGAGAATTTTTATTACCTCTATCATGTAATAATTGTCTCATTTCATTTGAAGATTGGGCTGATGGTGGGATTCAAGCGGCACAAGATGATAGTTGGAATGCAGGATTATCATCTAATGGAAGGTTATCCTCCTTAGCCTATGCGATAAAACCTATGTTTGATCAGTTATTTTGCATTTCTATATTTTTTAGTTGATTGCCCTGCAGAAAATTTTGGGATGGACTGATGGAGTGCAAATTCATTATCAATCATTTGCTTTTGATGTTATAAAGTTGTTATCAAACAATAACTCACTTGTATTCATGTAGTAGCCTTCAGCTGTTGGTACCTAACAAGAAAAGATTAGATTACAAATTTAGAAGTGATAAGAGTCCACATTCTGGTGCAATGTTAAACTAGGGTGATATAGACGGAAAAAGCCTATTATTATTGTTGTTATTAATATTATATATATTGTCTTTAATTTTTTTATATCTATTATTAATAGTTTCCTATGGTTATTAGTAATAGACTAATAGTAGTTTCCGACTAGCATTAGAAGTCTATTTTAGTTAATAATTCCTACTTTCTAGTAGAGATATTGTAACAGGTATATGTTTACTCTAATACCTGTCTACCAAGACACTTAAACCAGTATAAACAGATGTCCTTTGTTCATTAATAGTATGATCGATATTTTGGAGTGATAATTCTGCTTGTGTGCTAGGTGGAACTGATAGACATTTCCTTGCCCAAGGTGGAAGCTGAGTTATTTTGCAATTACTTATCTTTTCAATCTTTTTCTTTTCATTTAGACCTAATGAGTTTCCTTTTCATTTTTTTTTCTATAAATATGCTTAAGATTGATAGTATTGGTGTGTTTTTATTTTGTTTATTACCCATAGTAAGTAGTAACTACTAACTACAGTTGAAGTTCACTACTCCTTTAACTTTTTGAAGTGTGTTGCCAGTAATTTATCTTTGTAGCATATATATGTATCCTTTCAACCTACACACACAAAAAAAGTTACGTATCCCTTCACTGCTTGTTACTTATATTTCTGTTTCTTACTCCCCAGTTGGTATAACAGTTTTGAAAACATATCATACAGTAATTTTGTGCTTACTTTTGCAGGAACTCCTGGCCTTCTTTCCCTTCATCGAGCTTACCAGTATGTACAAGTTCCAATCTTGATGTTTTCATTTTCCATCTTACTTTATTTGCCATAGGTTCTAGTTTGTATGAATACGTCATGGTAAAGCGTCTGCATTTTACAGACTGTACAAGACCCTAATACCAGTTCTCTCACTGCAGTTGATGTTAATAAAGGTATGATTTACATGCAACTGTTTTGACAGTTACCAAACTAGACAAGAATTGAAACAAGTATCCAGGCTGCGCTATGTGAAGCCAGTTTGGTTGTTTTTATCTGAAACTGTAAAACTCCTATTTGCATACGTGACTACGTGTTTGATTTTGATGTGTTGAACACTTGAACTCAATTTTTATTTTGGATCCATGTTATTTCAGCGACATGCAAAATGAAATTATTTCCCATCTGTATATTTATTATACTCTTACCTCGTTTTTTTTTTACTTTATGTTATTTGGATAGAAGATACTGGGAGTTCTGCTTGGGAAATAGGGACAAGTCAAAGTAAAGATGCTGGGCAAGGTAGTGGCTGGGGAGGAAGTGATAGTTGGAAAAAAGTTGCTTCTACTTCAGTGGCTGGAACCTCTGGTTCTGACAGTTGGGGTAAAACTTCTGAAGCATGTGAGGGAAGCATAGTCAAGAATGATGGTTCCAGCTGGGGTGCTGCAGCAAAGAATGAAGGCCAAAGCGAAGGATGGGGCAACAAAGTGCAGAGCGAAAGAAATGATGGGCCTAGTTGGGGAAATTCTGCGAGTTCTCAAGGTAAAGGCACTACCGTTGCAAACAATGATGCTTGGGTCAGTAAGGGAGCAGCTTCTAGCTCTTTACCTGGTCCAGTGAGTGAAAGCGGTGGATGGGGTAGTGCAGGCATTTCGCAGGACGGTGGATCCCAATGGGGGAAACAAGATAATAAGGTACAGCAAGATGTGGGATCTTCTTGGGGCAATAAGAAGGAAGATGAATCATCATGGGCAGCACAGGGTGGAGGGTCATCTTTGGGCCAACATGATGGTAAGGGGCAAGATGTGGGATCTGCTTGGTCCAGCAAGGAGGAGAAATCCTCCTGGGGAAAACAAGGAGGATCATCTTGGGGCCAACAGGAGAGTAAGGTACCCAATATTTCTGGTGGAGGTGAGGATGGTGGGTCATCTTGGGGAAAAAAGAATGGCGGTGGTTCGGTAGGAAAACAAGATGTGGGATCTTCCTGGAATAATAAGGAAGATAAATCCTCATGGGGAAAGCAAGGCGGAGGATCTTCCTGGGGTCAACAAGACAGTAAGGAGGCACATAATAGTAGTTCTGTTGGGGGCGGATCCTCTTGGGGAAAGCAGGATGGTGGTGGCTCATGGAATAAACAAGACGGTGGTGGATCCTCTTTTGGAAAGCAGGATGGTGGCGGCTCATGGAGTAAACAAGACAGTGGCGGATCCTCTTGGGGAAAGCAGGATGGTGGCAGCTCTTGGAGTAAACAAGACGGTGGTGGATCCTCTTTTGGAAAGCAGGATGGTGGCGGCTCATGGAGTAAACAAGACGGTGGCGGATCCACTTGGGGAAAGCAGGATGGTGGCGGCTCTTGGAGTAAACAAGACGGTGGTGGATCCTCTTTTGGAAAGCAGGATGGTGGTGGCTCATGGAGTAAACAAGACGGCGGCGGATACTCTTGGGGAAAGCAGGATGGTGGTGGCTCATGGAGTAAACAAGAAGGTCAATCTTCTGGTGATGGACCACATCAACAAGGAAGTTGGGGGAGCGGTGGGGGGGCTTCTGATGGGGGCCGTGGTGGTGGAAGAAGAGGAAGGGGCAGGGGACGAGACAGTTTTGGTAGGGGTGGAGGTAGAGGAAGGTCTTTTGATCATGGAGGTGAGTCAAATAGCTGGGGTAAGGACACTGAAGGTAATTTCGGGTCAGGATTTGCTGCTGCTGGGGGGCTGCCATCGAATAGTTGGAAGAGTGAAAGTTCTTGGGGTAAGACATCTGATGGAAGCAAAAAGGATGATTGGGGGAATCTAAATGCATCTAGCAGGGATGATAATAGCTCTGGAAAGAATCCCCAAGGTTGGGGTGTAGTGAAAGATGCTGAATGTGGTGGTTCAAGCTGGAAAAGCCAATCAGAAAAGCAGGAAGGATGGGGTTCTGCTGCCGCTGGAGAATGCAGTTGGAAGAGCTCCCAAGAAAGCTCTTGGGGAAAGGTAAAATCAACTGATGAAAACAAAACAGATGATTGGGGTAGTAAACAAGATGTAGCAGGTGAGAAATGGAACAGCAAAGCAGGATCAAGCTTGGGTTGGAAAAGTGACCAATCTGAAAAACCCGATGATAACAAAGATGGTGCTGCTTGTAATAATAAACAAGCTGATTGGCAGAGTGGAGGAGGATGGAATGCTGCCAAACCTTCTGCTGGTGAAAGCCAGCCATCTAGTTGGACCAAGAAACCAATTGTGGACAAAGGAACAGATGATACCAATGAAGTTGGTGGTGGGTGGAATGCAACAGGTAAAGGAAGTGGTTCTGAAACAAAACAGTCGTCAGGATGGAACAATAAAAGTTCCAATGAGAGTTCGGCAGTTGGTTGGGGGAGTAGTGGAAACCAGTCATCTGGGTGGAAGAGTGAAAGTAACTGGAACTCAGGAGGCAGTGGCTTTGGCGGCGGGAATGAACATCAAGATGACAGCTCCAATGAACGGGGAGGAAGAGGTGGGTGGAGGGGTGGCCGTGGAGGTGGATTCGATAGGGGGGGAGGATATCGTGGAAGAGGTGGCTATGATAGGGGAGGAGGTTATCAGGGCAGAGGTGGTGGATCTGAAAGGGGTGGCGGTGGATTTCGAGGTAGGGGTGGTGGTTTTGATAGGGGCAGCGGTGGTTTTGGGGGGAGAGGACGTGGTAGAAGAGATCAGACCGATGAATGGAACAATAACAGTAGAAATGATTTCAGCGGTGATGGCAATAAGCAGAGCAGTTGGGGCAATGGGTCAAGTGGTGATGGCGGCAGCAGCTGGAAAGCTAATGAGAACAAGGGAAGTTGGAATGGAAGTGGCAATTCACAGAGTTGGTCCACAGGTGATGGGAATAAGCTGAGTAGTTGGAATAATGGGTCAGGCGGTGATGCAGGCAGTGGCTGGAAAGCTTCCAGTGATAGTAATAAAGGAAATAGTTGGAACGAAGGTGGAATTGGGAAAGGCCAGTGGCAATCAGGTGGTGGTGAGCAGCAGAAGAACACGAGTGATTTTAGTGGCGATAGCAAGCCACCGAGCAGTTGGAATTCTGGGGATGGTGGTGGCAGTGGCTGGAAAGCTACCAGTGACGATAATAATACTAATAAGGGGGGAAGTTGGAATAGTGCTGGCGGTGATGCAGATGGTGGTGCCAGTAAGGCATCATCCTGGGGCAACACATCCGAATCTATAAAACCCAAAGAAGGCGCTGGGGCTGCTGCTGATGCGTGGGGTAAGGCATCATCATCTACCTCATGGGGTGGCAAAGAGAGTAATGGAGGAGCTAGCAAGGGAGGGTGGTGAACATGACCAGCTCAGAGGTAAACTTTTTATATGTATTTACCTCTTAAAACAATCAAGTATTTAATGTACAATTTTTTTAATCAGCTTTCAAAGTACAAGCTGTTATAAGTTAAGAATGGTCTTTTATACCCCTATAAATTATTTCCAAAGCTTGTTGTGGAATTGACTGAAACCCCGCTTGGTGCTTTGCTTTACATGGAAGTTTACTTATGAATCAATGTTGGCTTTTACAACTGGACTATTTTTCGGAACTAAAAGAGTTTGAATTTTCTTTTAATTTGAGGGGTGCTGGGGAGGTAAAATTTAGTTCATACTGTGAGTGAGACAGTGACAAACATGATATGTGAGTCCTTTATTTGAACCTGTTGTGTTCATCTGCTTTTGCATGGTTTGGTTGTTCATGAATCATGATAGAATTTTATTATTGTGCTCAATTTACTTTTTTCTAAAGCAGCAATGATGTGTTTTTAATTATAATTACACCCTCTATTCTCTTTTCCTGCAGGGTGCTCTAATTGCTTCTACTACTTGTATGGATGGGGGTGTCTTCTTAGATCAGACGAGTTTGTGTCTTCCCACATAAGTGTAGTGTTTCCAGCCTTTGTAATAATAATGTTGGAGTTAGAATGTGATATCCCTTGTGAGGTTGACATAAAAACCCTACTTTTGACGTTTGATGTGTTATCCATCATTTAAAGGGAAGCCTTTCTGCATTACTATGTCGTCCAAAGCTGCTGTCCAACATTACTTTATTTGGTTTGAGTCAATCGTGATTTGCTTTCATTCACTAGATTCAAACCACAAGTTTTAAGCTCAGCTACTAGCAGTGGTTGACTGGTTGTTTGTTACAAGTCACAATGAAGCTGTGGTTTTTCTTTTTACTGTTCCACGCAACATTTATGTGTGTGTGTGTTCACTTATCCAGATCGGGTCTCTTGGCTTGGTGTACCTCAATTGCTTGGTACAACCGTTCAGCGGTTCAGCCTAACATAAAAAAACAGAAAATATGAAACAATTAAAGAAGTTTTTAGAATGCTTTTAATTGGATTGAAATTTTTTGGTTTGACATAAAAATCAATTAAAGTAGATAACATCAGAGACAGAGACAAGTGTTTTTTGAAGACGGTTTTATTTGTATGGCAGCAAATTGTACTTGTATAAGTTGTATACAAGTGTGCTTAACATCTATGTGACACGTTGTATCATTTAAGATGTTTTTTTTTTGTGTGATTTGATATGATAATGAGTTATGACCTATCTAAGATTAGTAGCCTAATCTTAAGCTTGTCATGTCTTTAGGTTCAGTCAAGTCCAACTGCAGATCTAACCACAATATTTTGGGTTATTGAAACTATTTTACAATTTTTTTTTTGAATAGAAATACTTTTTTTAACACATATTTTTTTATATGCTCCTGCCTTGGCATCTAATCTGGTTGAGTAGTATTAATTTTAATTTAGTTTTAAGATTGGATATATCGAAACTACTAAACAGATACTACCTCCGTCCAGTTGGAATGTTCCCACTTTCCTTTTTTGGATGTCCCAATGGAAAGTTCTCATTTCCCTAAATGGAAAGTTATCCTACATCAAAACAGTGTCAAACAGTGCAAAACAGTGTCAAACAATGTCAAACAGTGTCCAAACAGTGTCCAAACAGTAAAAATTACCCCCTGGTAAGTTTATTTCCTTAATATGTGTGTAGGTCAAACCGGGAACATTCCAACGGGACGGAGGGAGTATATTCTTGCATTGAAAAAGAAAATGTATTACTCCGTATCATTTAATGGTGGATTTGGTTCGGGCCACCCGGCTTGTGACCCGGTCACAAGCTCGGCCTGATACTGTGCGGGCCCGGGACCGGCCCGGTCCAGCGGTCCGGGATTGGGTGTTGACCCGAACCGGGGGGGGGGGGGGGGGGGGGCTAGGTTCCAATAAAAGGTGACCCGGCCCGGTCGGGTTGGGTCCGAGTCACAACAGCTATTTTTTTTTTTTTTGGGGCAAAAGAGCCGTTTGGCTGGGCACCCACTTCCCAAACGGCTATATAGCCGTTGGGTGGGTTGTGTGTGGGGGGGGGGGGGTCCGGGCCTTTTGGGGGGAGGGGGGAGGGTGGGGGGTGATGTGGGGTAAAAAAAACTTTAAGTACTCCTAATTATAAACATTTTTCTATATCTCTTCTCCAACTCTTCTTAAATCTTACTCTCTAATCATCTCCATCTTCATCTGGGCGTATTACTATTTGTTCTGACATATGGGAGGATGATTTTCATCATTTAAATTATTTGGGCCTGACTGCACATTATATTGATGGAGATTGGAATATGCACAAATGTGTTCTTGCTTTTCGTAAATTTAATGATTGTCACACCGCTGAACATATTTATATTTTGATTGAGCGTATTTTAATTGAGTATAATTCGATTGATAAGATGTTTGCTATTGGTTTCAATAATGCTACTAATAATACTGTTGCTATACCTAGATTGCGTGAATTGTGTGGTGCCAATACTTTGATGAGTAAATTTTTTCATCAACGGTGTGCATGCCATGTTACAAATTTATATGTGCAAGACGGTCTAAAAGCGTTGGGAGATACTATGGAGGTAGTCGGGGGGGGGGGGGGGGGGGGTAGACGTATTTGGGGTAGTGGCCAACTTAAATTAAAATGACAAAATTATTTAACTGAAAGAGGTGTGAGATATGTTGCTTTTCCTAAAGATGTGGCTATTCGTTGGAATAGTACTTATAAATTACTTAAAGTTGTTCTTAGATATAAAGACCATTTTCCTGTTTTTTAAAACAACATGATAACTATATTATAAACTCGGCTGAGATCGACACTTGTAAAAGAATTTGTAATGTTTTGATATTGTTGAGTTTAATCCAACTCGATATAGTAAATATATGTATAAATATGTATGAACAAGCTCTTTTTACGTGGAAACCCGAATGGGAGAAAACCACGGGACTTTTTAGGCTAATGTCCAAGTCCTCTCATTCTCATTAATCTCTCCTCACCATTACAAGGTACAAGGTATTGAACTCCCATTCATGGAGTATTGTAAGCTAGCTAGAGAGAAGGAAGAACAATAAGCCAAGGAAAAAAGCCTCCCTAAACATGTGGGAAAGCCCTATATTTATAGGGGAAAGGGAGTAGGGTAAAACCTACCCTAATGGGCCAAATGGGCCGAAATGGGCCCAAAGACCGAAACATGCCTAATAGGCTTGGAATGGCCTCCGCCATCCGAGCATTGAACTGGGGTAATATCTTGGATCCTTGAACAGTAGTAGACCGAGATAATATACCTCAACAGATATATTTTTTAGTGTAACTGAAACATTTAGTCATGTTTATAAACCTACCGCAAACCAATTTATTCGTGAAACTGTTAATCTCGCCGGTGCTTTTAAAGAATTTGAGAATGCCGTTTACGTGAGTTATTTTTGTGATTTTATGAAGGAAAAGTTTTTAAAATATTATGCACATATTCCGCATATTTATGGTATTGCATTTATTCCCGATCCTCATTTTAGACTAGCTAATTTGGAAGATTGTTTCAACTTCTATTATATTTCTACTTTTGGTGCATTTCCAATGTATAATGATAAGGCCATAGATCCGAAAATGGAATACAACGAGGTTAGTACTTTATTTTATGCCTTATTTAATGAGTTTCATGCACAATATGGCAACGTGCCCGCTCCCCCAACACGAACATCTTCATTTAAAGGAAAATCAATTTTTAAATCTGCATTCGGCAATCTTATGAAAAAACTAAAACAATTCACGCTACTGAACAAAGCGCAATAAATGAGATTACTTTGTATTTAACATATATGAAGTTGAATTTGAAGAAAATGATGACTTTGACGTTCTAAAGTGGTGGAAGTCAAAAGAAAGAATGTTCCCGATTTTAGCACGGATGGCTAAGCAAGTGCTATTAATGCCGGTTTCAACAGTTGCCGTAGAACAAGAATTTAGTTCGGTAAGCAACGTCCTAACGACATCTAGATCGAGATTGAGCGCACACTCTCTTGAAACGCTTATATGCTACCACGATTGGTTGAAGGCGGCACGTAGAACTCAAATAAATGAGCATCATCCCCTCCCAAGACTTTATGGATGACTCAACAACCGATGGTGGCTCTACCTATGCCGGAGATT